AGAGGGTAAATCTTCAAATGGGGGCACTAGTTCTGTTGAACTGGGGGTCCTCAAGGGATGCCATTAATTTGCAGGGATTTCCTCTCATTTTCTGTTTTGTCTGTGGGACAGGAAGTGAAAGTAAATCTCCCCAATGGGAGACAGATGGCAAAAAATAAACTGACAGGAGTTATAGCCCTCCCTTACTCTATCCAAAATGATAAAAAAAAAGTGTTGCCTATAGTTCTACTTTAATACTTGCGAGTGTGGGATTCAAGCCTAACTCTAATTCTTCTACAAATTGTTCTCTCCTCCTTTCTTTTACCTATTCTGCCTACTCTGTGTAAGAAAGATCTGTATACAGTACTTACCATTTTTTAATAAGCTCTCATTGTGTCATGTGTACCTGCAGCTCCGGCTCCCTTGTCAGTGAGCAGCAACTGCAGGGAAGAGAAGGGAGCACAGACAATGGCTGGACAACGGGAGCCTATGAGTGATGCTGTGGCTCCTAGATTTCCCAGCTGCCACAGGGGAGCCAGAGTTGCAGAATTGTATGACTGGACAGGAGCAGACTAAAAAAGAGTGAGTATACAGACCTCTTTTTACACAGGGTTGGCAGAATAGAACATTTATAAGACTAGTTAGTGTAAGGCTTTAATTCCAATTTAATACTATTTATTAATATGTAATACTACCTCCAGCAGGTTGTATAGCATAGACACTTATTTTATATATGCAAATATTATCAAAGTCCCACTAAATCTAATAATTTTGTAGATCACATGATATATAACGCCTGATGAAGTGGGAGTCCCCAAACACATTGGCTCTATTTTTTAATAAATAATTTAATAAAAAAAAAAACAGTAGGTTTATTTGTGAAGAGAGAGAGAAGGACAACAAGAGAGACACAGAAGGGGAAGTCCACTATAATATGCTTACAAATGATATATATATATATCCCAATGTCAGTCAATCCTGAAAAGCTATCAATTCATAAGACATATTTTACAAATTAGAATCTATCCAGGATTATTTAGATTCATTAAGTAGAGAACATCACAATTTACAAAGGAATGCAGCCAGCAGGTGGGGAGCTTGAAGCCAGAGCTCTAGTTTTCTATTAGGTTTTCCTGCAGCAGTGTTGAGAAACAAACCTGAATGGCAAGAGAGATTAGATTACACAGACTGTAGAATTACTCAGAAGAAAGACAAATCCCTCTCCATCTTTCTTAGCAGAGACAGGGCCATCTCTCTTTGCAAGTTTTAAACAGGCCACCAATAAGCACCTAGGTAGTGCTGTTTTGTAATATTAGAAAGCTCAGGCATGTTTTGAGTCATGAAAGCCCCTAATGCTTTATTTAAAAAATGAAAATGATAATAAAGTAACTTCTAAATATACATAGCTTGGAATAATTTTTGCAGTGAAACAAGTATATGAGAGAAGTGCACAGCAGGGATCCAGGAAACTGACCCCCCCCCCCCCCAGAAGTGTTGGATTCCATAGAATCTTAAGCCAGTGGATTGGCTTGCATGGCAAATTTGTGACATTGGCAACAGGAGAGGAGAATATCTTCAATTTCTTCTTTGCAGGGAGCAGTTTTTTAAAGCATGTTTTTTATTGACAAACCATGTTAAACATTTTTCAATATTTATATGTTTAGAATTGATTTTATTACTGTATATTGTTTAAATTATTACAATAAAATATTTAGAAGCATGTATGATACAAAGGGGGTTATTTACTAAGAAAGGAGAGTGTAAAATCTGGTGCAGCTTTGCACAGAAACCAATCAACTTTCAGTTTTTTTGGGCAAACCTTAATCGAACAAGCTGAAGTTAGAAGTTGGTTGGCTACCATGCACAGCAGCTCCAGTTTTAGTAAATAAACCTCAAAGTATGTCTGAGCTTTCTAATAAAACAATGGTACACTGTCTGCATGCTTGCCGGTGGCCTATTTATAATTTGAGAAGACAGGGGGCATTGTCTCTGCTAAGAAAGAGGAAAGGGGATTGGTCTATTTTCTTTGCTGGGAACAATTTCTAACTGTTTATAATATTTAGAGACTCGTTAATGACTGGCATAGTACCATTGGATTGATGTAAGGCCAATGTTGTGCCAATATTTAAAAAGGGATCAAAGTCTTTACCAAGTAACTACAGTTCTGTTAGTTTAACTTCTATAGTCTGGAAGATACTGGAGAGTTTATTAAAAGACCATGTAAATGAGTTCTTGCTAGAATAAAAATATTTTAAGTAACAGACAGCATGGATTCATCATAAAAGACAGAAGTTGTCAAACAAATCTGATTTCATTTCATGAGGAGGTAAGCAAAACCTTAGACAAAGGAATGGCTGTGGATGTAGTATACTTGGATTTTGCAAAATCAGTTTGTAAATGGATAGAAAACTGGCTAAAAGACAATATTCAGAGAGTAGTGGTTAATGATTCATACTTGAATGGTCTAGGGTTGTTAGTACTATTTCAGTCTTTGCAGATGACACCAAGCTGTGCAGTGGAATAACATCCTTACAGGATGTCTCCAATATACAAGCCAACCTCAATGCACTGGTTAACTGGGCAACTGTGTGGCAAATGAGGTTTAATGTTGATAAATGTAAAGTTATGTACTTGGGGGCTAAGAATATGCATGCACTGTACAAACTAGGGGGAGTATAACTCTGGGCATCAATGGTGGAGAATGATTTGGGTGTTCTGGTAGATCATAAGCTTATCAATAGCATGTAATACCAAGCTGTGGTTTCCAAAGCAAGCAAAATCCTTTCTTATATTAAGAGAGGTATACACTCCAGAGAGAGATTAATTTCACCCCTTTACAAATCATTAGTAATACCTCATTTGGAATATGCAGTTCAATGTTGGGCACCAATTCACACAAAAAAAGGATATTGGGGAACTGGGGAGAGTGCAGAGAAGGGCAACCAAACTGATATGAGGCATGGAAGAGCTCAACTATGAAGAGAGATTTGAGGAACTGAATTTATTCTCTCTTGATCAACAAGTATAAATGCATAGGTGGTCCATATAGTGAACTTGGTGTAGAGTTATTCACTTTAAGGTCATCACGGATGACAAGGGAGCACTTTTTATGTCTGAAGGAAAAGAGATTTAATCTCCAAATATAGAGGCTTCTTCACAATAAGAGTGGTGAAAAAATCTGGAATAGACTCCCTCAAGAGTTGGTTCTGGCCAGCTCAGTGGGTTGTTTTAAGAAAGGCCTGGATTATTTCCTAAATGTATACAATATACAGTAACTGGATACTAATATTATAGGTAACATTGATCCAGGGGATATCCAATTACCTGTTAGGGGATGAGGAAGGATTTTTTTCCCTGCTGGAGCAAATTGAATCAAGCTTTATAAGGGTTTTGTTGCCTACCTCTGGATCACCTGTGGGCATAGGGTTGTGTATATAAGATTTTAGAATTTGTTTTTCCTTTTATTGGTTGAACTAGATGGACTTGTGTCTTTTTTCAACCAGACTAACTATGTAACTATGTAATTTGCTGTGAATATTTATTTTAGTGACAGAGTCACTTAAAGTATAATGTAGTTTCTCAATTTTATTTAGTCTTTAAAACATTTAAGGCTGGTTGATATAATGAAAGCTCCAATCAAATTAAATGGCCATTAACTGGCTTCACCTATTTTACCATACAACAGTCTTTCTTTCTGTACAGTCTATTCTGTGAAAATTGCCACTTGTATAGTAATTGATGTGTGGTTGTTATATTTGAAAGCTCATACTAACTACATATCTCTTGATTCATCTTTACTTCCCCTAGGCTTAATACTAGCAGCTACAAATCCTAAAAATATATATTATTTTTCTATTTCCATTTGAAACACAGAGAGTGCCATATTTAAATGCTGATAATGGGGGATGTACAAATGTTGGGTGTGATTGTCTTAAAATGTGGCTTATCTTTGCATTGTACTGATACACTCCCTTCAACAAAATATCAAGCTCTAATCATCCAGTGAACCATGGCAACATGTTTGCTGACACCAATAATTGTCTGTCTTTAAAGAAATTGCCGCCTTGAGGGAGGTGAAAATAATTTATATGAGCTTCAGAAATAGAATTTGGACCAAAGTAAATTTCAAGGAGACCCCACAAAAAATCTCTCCTACTACAGGTCTCCTAATATAAGAAGAACATATGCTTTTATTAAAGCAATAAGTACTGCACTTACACAGAGAAGGAAATGTGAGGCACAGTAAGTGTTATTGACTGCCTTATGATGACTGCAAACAATAATTATGTGAATGTCTGTTAACAATCACTTAAGGCTGTTGTGTGCTGATGTGTAACTCCCTGCAGACTTCATCCTGGAAATAGGGGAACTGTTAACACTTTAGCAGTTTGCCATGATATAGCTAGGGAAAATCTGAGAAACAGAAAAAAAGAACAACAACTACATAGACTGATATTAAAAGTGTAAATGTTTAAAACCAAAAATATATTTTGTCTTTGCCACGAACACTGTTTCAAATAATGATGCAAAAAAAAGAACAACAACCACATAGACTGATATTAAAAGTGTAAATGTTTAAAACCAAAAATATATTTTTGTCTTTGCCATGAACACAGTTTCAAATAATGATGCCAAAATTAAGACATTTTAATTGCATGTCAAGCCAAAATAATATGTTGAATAAAGAAGATAATGGTTAATATTTCTTTCAGTTTTATTTTTCTATTTTTTGTTGTCCTGGACACCACAGGAAGTATGTAGTAAAAGGAGATCTCTTCAAAATGAGGGGACATTCCTTTTAAGACAGAAAACAAGTTTGACAACTGAAAAAAAATGCAAATATTCCATCCTTTTCCAGAGAGATGTGTGTGTGTGTGTGTGTGTGTGTGTGTGTGTGTGTGTGTGTGTTTTTTTATTGGTTGAACTAGATGGACTAGTGTCTTTTTTCCATCTGACTAACTAAAAAAACTATGGGGTTGATTTACTAAAACTGGAGAGTGCAAAATCTGGTGAAGCCCTGCATTGTAGCCAATCAGCTTCTAACTCCAGCTTGCTAAATTAAGCTTTGACAATGAAACCTGGAAGCTGATTGGTTTCTCTGCAGAGCTGCACTAGATTTTGCACTCTCCAGTTTTAGTAAATTAATCCCTGCAGTATGAAACTATGAGACAATGGTCACCAAGACCACCAGTGAAGATAGATCTCTCTAACAGGGGAAACAGACAGAAGAAAACCTGATGGGGGTTTTATCCCCTCCATATTCTATACAAAAGTAATTCAAATTGGTAATACATAATTAAACTACTGAAGTTGCTTTACGTAATTCTATCTTAACATGCTACACCCCCTTCCTTTCTGGGCTATTTTCAGTTTTGTGATAGTTTCAGTAAAATTATTCAGTTATGAAACACTGTACCCAAATGCAAATTAATCAAATTTTTGAGACTTTGTTTCTATAAAAAGGGAAAACAGTCCAGAAATCTAAACAAACAGGTATTTCCCTTCCTTTGTGTTAGACTATTACAAAAACCTCTAGAATGACTTCAAAACTTCAGTGTGATCTCAATTGTTTGGAATTGAAGAACCATGCTGGTATTTAGCAAAACAATACAAGCACTTACATTGGTTGGCCAGTGGCACTTTAAACACTCACCACCACCGCCACCACCACCACCACCTTATTTGAAGCCTTTCTCTGCTGCAGCCTCTCTCTACTTTACATTGATCCCCTGCACCACAGTATTATTTACATTTGTGATTGCTGTGATTGGCCATCACAGAGATCACAAGGCACAGAGGCAGTCTGATTGGTTATTTTCCTTTAGCCTATGATTGCCACTGTCATGGCACTATTCAGGCATTGTGTATATGTGTGGTGTGCACACATCAGTAAACAAAAATTCTCAGTCAGAATAACTGCTCTCTCTAGTGTATTTTTTTTTTACTACAACAGCTGATAAGGAGTGGATGGAAAAGGAACACATTATGACCACTAGTCAAGAAAGAGTAGTCTGTTGTTTCTTTGTTGAACCCATGGATAGACAACTTTGGTGGTTTCTTTGTGGGGTGGCACTGAATAGTAGAGGTAGGTGATATTGTTTTTATTAGACTGAAGCAGCCAGTGAGGATTTTATTTTTCACTGCTTAACTGTAATAAGCAGATAGTGGCTCAATAAGCTCACTTATTATATGTAGTAAAAAATTAGAAGTCAAAAGGTATACATTTGCTGTTAGATTATTGAACAGTAAAACTAATACAAAAATTGTGAGCACATTTAAAGGTTTTTATTTGCTGCCAAATTGCCAAACAGCAACACTTTTTTTTTTTTTTTAAGTCCGCAAACGTGCAACTATAACGAAAAACCCGTAAGTGTTTCACAAAAAAGTGCAAGTGCAAAAACACCACACAAAAAGTGCACTTAGGGGTGTGCTGTGTCCTACCCCTAAAGGGGCTTGGACCGCTTACCCTGATCCCCCGGGGCACGAAGCTCCTGACGGGGACAAGGTTCCCACTTGGTCCTCCTGGCCAAAAGGCCTGGTGGACCACCGTTCCCTATGCCCAGCCGAAGCCGGACATTCAGTACTAGGCAAGGGGACTCTCCCGAAGAAGAGTCCTCTAGGGATCAGGGGAGGAAGGAACCGTATGGCCACACATCCTCCCTCTAGACTTCAGGGTAGGCCCGAGGACCCACACCCTCCATCCGTGAAAAACACACACATAAGGCAAAAAAAAAAAAGTGACAAACGTGGGAGTGCATAATAAATAAATAAATAAAGTAAAGTAAATAAAATAAAAAAATGGTACCGTACCGAAATGTGCACAGACCAGGCCCTGAGGCCCGTAGCAAAAATTGCCCTGGACTTAGCCAAAAGACCTGGTCCTTAGGGCGCTGTGCAAAAAGAGGTGAAAAACAGTGGCCATGTGTCATCTTCACACCGTGGGGTCCCACACCCAAGTGTTACTAGTGACACCCCTGAGAGCGTCTTCCCCAAGGGGCACTGAGTTTGCGGACTTTTTGCGTCCCCAGCCCCTGGCCAGACCAAGGTAGATCCGTCCAAATCAGGAGGTACTGGGTCTTTCCAGTCTTCCCAGAGGAATTACTCCCGGGGCCCCAGCTTAACTCGTGGCGCTCCCCGGTTTCTGTCCCTCTGGTACTAGCCTTCCGGACCCCCATCATACCAGTGAGGGTACTATACAACAACCATCCCCGCAAAGCTAGAATGGTCGGGAGCACCCCCACTGGACACTGATAAGAACAGATACTACACTTGATCTTAGCCAAACAGCAACACTTATAACATGAATTAAGCAATCCCCCTTTATCTTTAAAACACAACAGTTTCAGCATTTTGATGTGCTGCACTACACATGGGAATTAGAGTCACAGAGAGGATCAGACTGTCAGACAGGGTGCGAATGCGTCAGAAATCAGGGAGAGTGGCAGAAGGGAGATTTGCAATACATACTTTTGCTCCAGCAGAGGTGCTATAGGGCCCAGAAAAGTAGCATTGGTACCAAATAAAAGCAAGCCTGTTGTTCTTTGAACTATTTCCTAGCAAAAGGAACATGAAAGGAAAGCCAGAGTGAGCTACATTGACAGATGCTGTGATGTAACTTAGTAACAGGAACGTGAAGGGGCAACAAAGCAGGGTACAATTGCATTTCCTATTCCAGTTGGCTCAGGAACAAAGCAGGGCACAATTGCATTTCCTATTCCAGTTGGCTCAGGAACAAAGTAGGGCATGATTGCTTTTCCTATTCCAGTTGGCTCAGGAACCTAAAATGGCCAGCAAAAAAAGAATCCCTTTCAGCAAACTATTGAAGAAAAAAAACTGCTGGACTGGCTAAAGCCACCACCTAAAGATTATAAACAGTGAGAACAGACTGCCATTTCCTAAAAATCAAGCACCTTTTCAAAATTGAGTTATGTGGATGGATACAATGAGCACCCACCTCAGTTTCTCACTGTGTACTGCAATTTAGCAACAAGAATATGAAGATCTGACAAAGAGAGGGGGCCAACAGGAACAGAAAATGCAAGCTTACTTCTTCGTGTTTTCATTGCTACAGTACATAGTGAGCAATGTGGGCACATACCTATTATATCCCTTTATCATAGCCTAGTAAAAAGGAATGTTTCTTGCTGCTTGGAAATGCCTGGATATGGTCTGACATGGTTTGTGGGATGTGTTGTTCACATGGGCCATATGCTAGATGGACCTTTTGAAGATCATTGATAAAATGTTAAATAATAGCTTGGTCTTGAATCACACTTATTTAGACCATACTTTTGTTACATTTATATTAATCTTTGAAGGGGGTTCACATTTATAGTTTCATTTGGTGTCTAGGGATTTACTATTCATGAATATGTTATATGAGTCTTTTAAGAAGCATAATTGTTGGGTTCAGTAGCCAAGGAAATCCAATCAAAGAAAATACTATGGGGGTTATTTACTAAAACTGGAGAGTGTAAAATCTGGTGCAACTTGGCATAAAAACCAATCAGCTTCCAGGTTTTATTGTCAAAGCTTAATTTAATAAGCTGAACTTAGGTTGATTTACTAAAACTGGAGAGCCAATCAGCTTCTAATAGCTACTTAGGTGGAAAAAAGACACTAGTCCATCTAGTACAACCAACAAAAAACACACACACACACAAATAGAAACCTCCAAATCTCTCTGGTACAGAAAAGGATGGAAAATTTTAGTTTTAAAGCTTAACTGAACAAGCTGAAGTTAGGTGATTAGCTACCATGCACAGCTGCACCAGATTCTAAGTGCACCAGTTTTAGTAAATCCACCCCTATATATCTTTCCAGTAGCTTGTGTGGTCCTAGTTTAAGACACCAGAGTCCCTGAGTTATATATTCACAGTTCTACACTCCTATATCCCCGCCACCTTGTATTCTGTGTCCCCTCTGCTTCCAGAAAAACATAATTTAGCTGTGCACATGCTCAACGTCTTGCCAATGGTGGAAATTGTATATTGCAAAGCAGGCCTTTTGAGCACCACTAGCGTAGATCCCTGTATTCCCTCATATCCTTCAACCAATTGCTTTCCCATTCCTGCCTCTTCATTTTAGCATATGGGAAAAATTGTGTAGAGCATATTGTGCATACTTTATTCTCTGCTAATCATAGTTTACAGTTTAACCTCCCTGACGGTATTCCTGAGTGTAGCTCGGGGTAAAGTTTCAGTACCAAAAGCGGTAACTCCGAGCTTACCATGCGGCGCTGCTCCGGCATCTGTTCTTCACTTACCTTGTCCTGAACTCCCGCGATGTCCCTCCTGCAGTGTCCCCGGCAATGTAATCCGGCGGATGCCGGCATCTGTCATCTGGGTTCCGTCCCCTGCGAGCGTCGGGACGTACAGGGGATGGAACAGTGGGAAATTTGAAAATGACAAAGAGGGACATTCACTAAATTCACTAAAATCACATAGTAAAACATTACTGTATCAAACCATTTCACATACATTTTGTCCCTACTGCTTTGTCCTGTGCCCTGTCTGCATTTTTACTGTTCTTTCTGCCTGGAAACTGAGAAAAATCCATGGTGTCAAAAAAGTGTCCCTTTAGCTCAAAATCGGTTTTAGACCAGCTAGAAAACAGCGATAGTAAATTAGAACTACTTGCAGAATTGAGTGATAATGATTCGTGAGGAAATTCATTATCAGACACTGAAAACGATTCTGCGACTTTGCTCAGTGATGTGCGAACTTGGCGCTATATTTCAAATTTCAGTGTTTTTGGTTTGATTATATTATTGAATTAAATTTATTATTATATTATTATTTTTTAGGATTATTTATTAAATTATAATTTATGATTTCGTGTTTCAAATTTTATCATACCCGGGATGTTTACTAGACTCTTGTTCGGACAAATTTCAGTGAGTTATTCCTAAAAATTACAGGCCTACAATAAAAAAAATACATATTTCCATGCAAAAAAATGTACCGCTTTGAGCACAGAAATATGGACATAATCAGACCGCTAGGGAGCTTTTTAGCTGTACTCCTCGAATGGATCACAGTAGTGCAGCTCATTCTGCACTCCTGTGACTCGTTTTTAGCAAACAATAAACCCACTGTTGGCTGACATCACAGAATCGGTGCAGGCTCTGAAAATATCCCTACCATATAGTCAGGATCTGTCTAAAAGCCAGGACCTGCACCAGGCTCAACCTCTCAGCGATCTGCTGAGAGCCTGAGCCAGCCAGACACTCCTGTCCCCTCCCCTTTTAATATATCTTACAAAAAACATACATTCTGGTGGTGGTCAGTTCATCCACACATACAATGTGTTTGGATGTGAGACTGGAGCAACTAGAAAGAGCCAAACATAAGAAAGACCTCACAATGAAAGTGGAGTTGATCTACTAAAGACAAATAGACTTTGCAAAGGAGAGTAGCACTTATTTTCCTTAGTGAATGTAATGTGGTAAAGCTTCAGTTTGTAAAGAATATCCAAAGAAAATAAAAAAAAAAACATTTTTTTCCTTGCACATGATTGGATGATGGAAATCAGCAGAGCTTTACCACATTTACAAGGCTATGAGGAAAACAAGTGCAACTGCCAGGGTGCAGTCTATTTGCCTTTAGTAAATTAACTCCAGTGGGTTTTGAAAACTCAGTGACCTAGTGCTATCTGATCCCCCCGCTGTTCAATGACACGAAAATGAATGTATGTGTGTTAAAAAAAAATACAGCTGTTAAAGTCAACTATACAAATAGTAATACTGAATTTTATGCTGACCTAAAAGTATACAAGCAATAGCTCAAACTCTGCTGCATGATTATTGTTTTTTTAAGACAACGCTTTGATATTTATTCAGTAAACATTACAATATATATATTTTTTTTTTCATTAATTGTAAACATAGAAGTAAATATAGGCAAACATGGCCTTAAGTAATCTTGCTGATAAATGAATCTGCTTAGTAGACAATGCTCTAATAAGGTTAAGATCACTGAGCTAATGAATAAAACAACAGAAATGTAACACAACTGCATGAATAAATAGTAAGTTGTCTTACACTTAACCTAAACAGATTTGCATGCACATATTTTCTTTAAGCTGTGTCAAAGTTCCAGGACTACCTCAGTGACCTTACAGTCTTTATTATATTGTGTTGAGCTTTATCTAGGTTTTTTTTTATATATCAGCACATACCAATCTCCATTTTAACTCAATATAGCAAAGAAGATTGTTCTGATTTGCAAGATTAATTTATTTCTAACTCTGTCTCCCTTCTATCTTATAAAATAACAAATACAAGTTGTCAAAATGACCTATTATGTTTGTATAGCATTGAGGTTTTAGGCCATTTGTATCAAGATACATTATGTTAACAGCCATTTATGCTAAATGCTGTTCTGATGAAAAAAAAAAGCTTTATATATTTTAGCAAAATAAATGGAGTATTTCTGGTGTTATAACATTGTGACAAATTATTGACTGACGCCTGTCATATTCTCATCAAGGTAATTTGGGTCACAGTCAAAATTGAGTCTAATGAGAACACAAAATTTTAATGGAGTCATTGGTTTCATTAAGGTAGAGAAAAAAAAGGATGCGGGTAAAAATATTAACGTTGACCAGCCAGATAATAAAAACTTGGAAAGTTTTTCTCTCTTTGTAATGGATGATTGATGAACATTAATGACCATTAAGTTTCTATTTATTATGGTAAGCAGAATATAGAAATTAGCTGCAAATGATTTCCGAGAAATTAAGCAATCAAGGAGCTATTAAGGAGGGATTTATTGTACTAAATATAAAATGACAATTTCCCCAATGAATCCTCAAAGTAATCTATGTCTTTGCCACGGTGGCCTGTTTGAGTAATCTCAAATTACAGAAGATGCAATCCATTCCATTGTTTTTACAAGTAAATTACAGATATGAAGCATTACTAATTCAGGGGCCACACATAATAATGTCAATAAAGTACTTGAGCAAATGATTTCAGGCACAGATACTACATAACTGTGTCCTATAGCTATTTACAAAGACAATGAAGGTCTCTGGAGAAAAACTATACTCCAGCATGAAAATATCTTGAAGCCCTACAGTGGAATTTTGATAGCATACTCTGGCATGTTTGCCTCAATTTCAGCACTGCTATGCAGAACAGAATAATATTTATGAAAGTTTAGTATCCAAAATGACAAGTATTTGCAGAAATCTGGATGAGGATCACACATTTTTTTTTCTATTTTAACATAAGAAATCAAGGCAATTTTGTTTTATAATAAATGTGTTGGAAAGAATAGGATCGCACATTTGTTTTTTTCTGTTTAACATAAGAAATTATGACAGCTTTGCTATATAAAACTGTGTTCAATTGAAAACACCAGAAAATAAAAAAAAGGTTAATTTGCTATGTTTGAACACCACATGCAGTATCCAAGGCTTGTTTAGCATTAAGAGATCTACTGACATTTTGAAGGACATGTTAGGCAGAACTAACAAAAACCACTGGAGCACCCAAATATGGTCTTCATATTGGTTGCAACCAAAAAGCCATTTTTTTCTAAGCCAAACATCCACCTAAGCATGAAAATGTAAGGACTGGGGTGCAGAAAATTTTCTGCAGATGCTTTAGACCAGCCTTTCCCAACCTTTTCAAACCCCTGCTAAAAATGGCTATATGTACAACTCATGATACATTAATGTGATGGACAGTGGAAAGAATGCTTCTTACACTTGTGGTCATTGGGAAGAATAGCCCCCTAAAAGATAGCTAAAAAGATCAATGGTGTCAGTAGGAACTTATCTCAGAGGCAAGAATTGTTTATTTCTAAAGGAACCCCTAGCAACCTCTTGAGGAACCTTTGGGTTACATGGAACCCTGCTCTACACCCTGCTCTACACTGATGATTAAAAATGTCAAATATTTATCTCTAACACAAGGCAGTCTGCCCATCAAAGGAATGGACAATGGTACACAGATAAATGTACATTGAAGAGTTTTGGTGCTACATTTCTGCTAATGGATTCACTATAAGCCGAATTCCAGCCTAAGCTTGTTTCATTATAGTAAGAGTAGAGAAGTAAGAGTAGAGAAGAATTAAAACCTATGTCAGGTTTTTATTTCTGTATGTGCCCTTTTTAAGTAACTTTCCTATTACTTCTTGTCAGAACAGGAAGTAATGGAAAGTCTGAAGAAATTGAGTTTCTCTTCAAAAGTGAGGAGAGCAGTGTAGAGGGAAGGTTGGGACATCTTGCAATGCTTTAAATACTTTCCATGTCTCCCTTCCCAGTGGCAATCCTCTTTTTGTACAGGTACCACAAGGACAGAAAGTGAGAAAATCTCCAAAATGGGGTCACAGACAGCATTAAAAGCCTAATGTTAAGTGTAGCTCTTCTCAACACTAAAAAAATATTTTGGCTAAAGTTAGGCTTAAGCTGCCCACAGTTAATTAAGCAAGCACTTCCAGAGCCATGCAGTCTTTAAGGATGGGGATTGCCATACTGAAAAGTCATCTGTTGCAACATTTTCACCTTAAATAATAGAGATAATTGCACAAAAGCAGTAAAATAGCTTGTATTGTACACAAAATATCTCTGTATTAACAGTCTCTATATTTGTTATCTCAACTCTATTTTGCACAAGATAGGAAAAAAAGTCCATAACACACCCTAAATGAATACGCGGCTACTCCTCTACCTACTAGGTATTGAAAAGCAGTATATATTGTATATCTAACTTAGGTTACTTATAGTTATTTGTCATTCCAAGTACACAAAGTAAAGAACATACTGCTTTTTCTAAATCTGGATCTGTGCTTTTTTTTACAAATAAATAACCATTGTGCAAATAAAGTAGATAAAGTCAATCAAAATTCTGTGTCAATAAAATAAGACTGACTCATAAGTTTGAAATTCCTCAATATCAATTTCACACCAACCTGAACAGTAATCTCATTTGTTATATGACAGCACAGCACACCGTCAATCTGTTTGCAGCTGTATGTGTGTACTCCAGCTCACCCTTTCTAGTCATCACACCTGGGGCTATGTTACCTTTGAGAATAATCATTAAAAACAATTGTTCATTTTTATTATTTCAATGTTTATTTCTAAAATATGCTATTGGCCACAGAACTGTTTGAAAAATACAATGAACAGGGAATAGAGAAATGCTAAAAAAGTAGAACACAGTGGAGATGGTAAATACACTGCAGTAAGCAGTCAGAATTTATATTTCCTGATCCGACTACTCAACATGTTATCAGTTAGTAGTCTAGGCTATGCATTTCATAATTGTAAACCAATGGATACCTTTCCTAGGGTCTATTGAAGGTCTTCCTTGCCTACTGAAGATGGGTGGGCAGGGAGCTGCATCTAGACAATGAAGGCTGTGCTGGGTGACAGGAGATGCATCCATGAGATTGACAGGTAGTGGGTGTGCAAGGCTGTGTGAAT